TAATTTTTTGGTGAAAACCATAAAGAAAAAGTTTAAAAGAAAGGTAAGATTTAAAAAAATATTTAAAGAATATGGACCAAAATAGTAAAAATAATTTAACATTGGGCTAAAATTGTAAATAAGTAACCCAAGTTCATAAAAACGATTAGAAGTTGGGGTAAACCTGTAAAAAAGAAAAGGTGAGGCTAAATTCCATAGCTTTTGGAACAAATTTGTAAAGGAAGTTGGAATTTGGAAAGGGTTACATTTGAAAATTTTAAAACTTTAGGAGGTAAAATCGGGATTAATTAAACTACAAAACCGAAATTTGAAATACGTGGCGCATTTGGGGGTTAAACTAAACTAAACTAAAGAAAAAACAAAGACGCTTGCTTCACAGGAGTCAAACCAAAGGCCTCTTACGAAAATGGTTGATGTTTTAGCCTGGCTACCATGCTTCATGCAATGTTGCTAATTGTATGGGTATATAATGTGAATCAAATATAAATCATTTGATTAAAAGGTGGGAATGCAAGAAACAGCAACGCACTTTCATTAATTCTTTTCTTCTTATTACAGAAGTTGTAGTTTATAAATCTACCAAACAAAAGCAATGTCAACAAGATATAAATAGATTTTCACTGCATAACATGATAAAAAAAATTAAAAGTGCTTCGCTATAACTGAATAGATTTTTCAAGCATTAATAAAAAATTTGAAGGTACAATGATGTAAAACAAAAAAAAAAACCAAAAATTGTTATCCTCTACTACTTTGTAGCTTCACTCTGATCAACCTCCACTGTTGTCTCTGGCAAGGCAGATTTGTCAATTCCATTTTCTTCAACTGAAACATCATCATCATCATCATCATCTTCTTCCTCACCAACATCCATGGCAGAAGATCCCTTCTTCACATAATCCACCTTAAAATCATAATCACCATCCATGGACTCATCTTCATCCACAGCAGCAGATTTTTTCGCTTTCTCCTTTCTCTTCTTCTTTTCTGCTTTCTTTACTTTCTTGTTTTGTTTGCTACTTGTCTTCTTCACTTCACTTTCCTCTGCATCTTTTTCTGCCATGGCTTGATCTTCATTCATGCTGCTTTCTAATGCATTTTCTTTTTCAGTGGTTTGTTTCTCATCCTGTAAAAGCCAAAATTCATACATAGTCAAGAACAAGATCTAGCGACCAACAGAGATGTTCTTATTGAGGGCAAATTCGTAAAAAGCTAAGACTTATTGGGAAAAAGATTTACAAACCTCGAGCATGGATTCATCGAAAGCAAGAGGGTCACTTGGTGGAATCTCAACAGGATTGAATTCAATTACAGATTTAAGGCTGCCAATATATGAGGATTCAGTGCCATAAACTTCATCCACATTGAACTCCTTACTTAATTCTGATACAATCTTTGCTTCCATAGCCTCCTCTCCTTCATTCCTTGTGGGAGGCATTGTATAGTATTGGATTTTACCTACAAAAAAAGATGAAAAAAAACATACGTCAGTTGCTTTCTTTCTTTCTTTCTTTTTCTCATTTTTTATTTCTCATTTTACAAACCTTCATTCCAATCATGCAATACGATTCTTGCAGCAGCATTGATGTCCATAACGCCACCCTTTTTGAGCTTACCCCTCACAGTAGCAACCTTGGAAAGAAAGTCATCAACAGAATCGAAAGCAGGAATCTTATATAAAGTTACCAACATTTCTGCTGGACATAACTTTAGAATTTCCTTCACTGCAATCAACAAATAAAAGCATATTTCATAAACATAATAAACACATCACTTGTATGGAAAAGAAAAGAACTTTCTTGGATAAATTTGAATTACCTGGAGAAACAGGATCATCTAGTTTCTCAATTTTCATGCAATTCCGAAGAGCTACAGCTGCATCATTCTCCCTAGATTTAATCATCACAACACCAGGGCAATCCAACAATTTGATATTCTTGTCTAATTGAACTTCTTGCATTGTTCTTGTTAGACCAGGTGTAGCACCAACATTGGCAACATGACATCTTTTCAAGCTATTAATTAGACTGCTCTTGCCTACATTAGGCAACCCAACTACACCCACAGTAATTGATTTTTTAATCTGCACCAACATGTAAGCCATCAGTCAAAAACTTATAAGTTAACACCACATGAAAAAAAAAACAAGATAAAAAGGTTAAAATGTCTACATCATGGCTTCTTGAGTAATTCTTGAGTAGCTTTATAAGAGTTTCTGCTCCTAGACAATCACTTGTTTGTAAAAGATTACTCGTCTTTTTTGCAGCCTTTGAGGATTTCCATCCCAGATTAGATTTCTGCTCTTGAGTGCTACACTTAAAAGCAACTGCTGGCAACTCCTCTCTAAGATACTTGAGCCACTTTTCAGCAGCTTCACGGGGAACAAGATCTAATATCCAAGTTCCAATAGTATATTTGGTTCATCAAAACTGGAAAACAAATAAGAAAATGCATCTTCAAAGGGCAGAAAGATCTACCTATTTTGTTGAGAAGCAACACAAGATGTTTTTCAGGGCCAGCTTTCAAGACCATCTTTTCCATATCATTACATCGGGTACCAATGGGATCTCGAGCATCAAGCACTTGCAAAATGACATCTGATGCTTCAATAACTTTGGCCAACTCCTTGTAAAACGACCTCTCTGAATTGTCCATGAAAATCCAAAAACATTTAGAAAGTTGATGACAGAACCAGATTTTGCAATGGAGTAAGAAAAGAAGGTAAAAAGCTCAAAAAGATCATGTGCGATCACATACCCCGAGTTGCTGTTGAATTGTTAGCAGCTTTTCTCTCACCAGATTCCTGTTCTTTAGCAGAAACCTGCTCAGCCAGGTTGGTGATATCATCACCATCATCCTCCAGTAGACCCAATTTCCTCTTTTTAGCCTGAAGTGAAAACATGTGGTGTCATTTCAAACCAAAGCTTTGTAGCATAGAAAGCATTTCTTAGAAATAAAATGATCAGTGCCCACGATAAGTCGATAACAAGAAAGCAATAAACATCTATGACCACAAAAACACTCTCAAAGATTGGTGATGTGACACATGTAAGTTGCATTAGGTAAAGAATCTAAGAACTTATATGAATCCTAACAACCCTTTTCATACTGCAACCTAAAACAACTCCAACATCTAAGAGAAGATATTGGTTTTTAAAGTGGATTATATAAATTAACCATAGGGGTATATAGTTTGCTCCACCCCAGTTTTGATGCTGCTAATATCAGATTAATTATTCGAACATAATAATCACATATGACAACAACTGTGCCAAATTCACATAAGGTCGATGGCCTCAGCCCTCAAGTAACACACACTGTTTAATAAGTACTACAAAGGAACGCTGTTTAAACCTCTTATCGGGATGCATATGAATCTAGCATTGGAAGGTATAGGTGTTTAACATGAACAATGAAAAATGTGCTCATTTGGGACTAGAACCAACGGATTGCATCCACATAAACACATCAAACCCCTAACTAACGAAAGAAACTAATTACCCTCTCTTTACGAGCAGCTTTTTTCTGCTCAATTTCCTCAAGCGCCTTAGTACGACGAGCCTCGAGAGCCTTAAGCTCTTGTTCCTTGAAAGGCCAATCGTTAGGGATACCCGGATCCTTCTCAACCTTAGGCCTTTTGTTCAATCCAAGCTTCTTCGCCTCTTTGGCCTTCTTTTTATGATGCTCTTTCACCTTCTTTATTACCTTGTGCTTCTGTTTCAATGTTACTCTCTTGCTCTTACTCTCTGTAAACACATAGAAAAACAACAGACATGAATACATCGACTAAATTTAAGCATAAAGGATACACGAACACGCACACATGTACAGAAATTGCGCAAAAGTAAGGTTCCAAATGAGTGTGAATAGCATTTACTTTTGCTTCTCTTCGGCATGGTTGATTAGCTGTTTGAGGTTGATTTGGAGGTTGCAGGAGGAGAGGGGCTTATGACAGAAAGATTAGGGTTTTTGAAGGAGGCGCCGAATTCATATAAACTACTTCCCTCCTCATGAAAACAGTAGATATTTTAGCTATTTGTATCAAAATTATTTATGACTTTCTGTTAGGTTAAAACATATATAAAACTTCACAATTTTTAAGATTCGTCATGTGTTCAAAGTAATTATCGTGTCACTGTATGCATAAATATTGGCCAATCAAAATTAAATAATTAAATAAATAAATAAATAATGGTAATTTAGTAATTTGTTTAGTAACTTCCAAAAATAATCCTTATAATCATGGTATTGACTTATAACCTAAATAAATAAGTGTGTCTTCCTCAATATTCCACCCGATAAAGCCCTAGCATCCTAGAGGGTATCGACGCTTTCAGATCGTGTTCGGTGGGTTTGCTTCGACGGTGGTTGAACGGTACACGAACGGGGTTCGGTCAGTGGGAAGAAAAGGTTTCTGATGGGGCCAAAGAGAAGGAAAAGGGGAAAGGGCCTTCGTCTTGGTGGTGATCGACGAGCAGGGGTGTGGGGATGGACGCTCAGCGGCGGCAGTAGGCGGCTCTGCCACTTCTTCCTCTCTTTTTTCTGGTAAGGTGAGAACGAGAGACAAGGAGGTCGATGGGTACAGGTTTCTTCCTTCTTCTTCTTATTTTGACTGGTTTACTGTAAACCAATGAAGTTTAATCTTCAAATGAGTTTTTTTAATTTGATTTGATTTCAATATATAGAATGGATGTTTGGGTTGATTGTTTGACAGAAATCAAAGAAATTTTGGATGTGTTTAGGTTTATTGTCTAATTCTTTCAAGGTGTAATACTTTTGGTGAATTGGGAATTTGTTCTGATTGTCTAATTTTTATAGGAAATTGAAAGTTGTTTTGATGCACACCAGCGCTCGCTAAAATGCTTCAACTGAATGGTATTTCTTCGTTTATAGTATTCTATCAGAAAAGAATGTGTTTTAAGATAATCATGAACGTATTCTGTTAGAATGTCCGAATTAATATAATTATTGGTAAATGAATTCTAATTCTATCAGAATGGAATCACGAATTCCAATTATGTTGGAATGGAATATGGATGTTTTCTCACTAATTTATTCATTGGATTTGTTTCCACAGAAGTTGATGCTTGAAGAACGGACCACGAAATTTGAATGACGCCTCTTAGCAACATTGTTCTTTTAGAATGTATTAGTGTCTTTGTTAGATTTTGATGTTTTTTTTCCAGATTTGAAAGTTTTTTTAGTTTTAAACTTTAACAATAAATGTAATTCTTAGCAATTGTTACATGTATTCTATAAGAATTAATGTAATTTTTATTTTAATTCTTCAATTGATGGTTCGAGAATTTTGTTATTCTACAATAAATTTTTAAAGTCATGATCAAGAAATATGTTCAAGAATATTTTTAGTATTTTGTGGTTCAAGAATATTTTTATTTTTAAACATACTCGAACATATTCTGTCAGAATGTCCGAATTAAAAACCTTATAATTCGTAAAATCGGATTTTTAAAATTAATAGAATCTATGATCCCTTAAAATATGCAAATTTCATTTATTAAATCTATATTAATTGACTAAATTACTCTTCTAGTTAAATTAGATGGTATTTTTCAATTATATTTAATTTAATAATATGTATTAATCAATTTCTTAAAATAAGTAAAATGATTGGCTCACATTTATGCATACAATCACACAATAATTACTTATAATATAATAACCTAAGCCCGTCAAAATAACCATATATTTTGCACTGGAATTGCTACAAAATTATAAACCACACTTCCAAATTCTTACTTATGTTTGGTGTTAGAGTTTTATAAATGATTATTGATTTATTGATTTAAAAAAACCAATAAATTAAAAAAAATTACAAACTCAAAAGCATTTTTAGAAAGGTGTTTGGAAAAGCTTAAAAAATTATTCTATCAAAATGAGTCTTCACAAAAGCAAAGTGTTCGGGATTAAAGTGGATGACTTCGAAGCGGCTATACTTGCGAGTATTTTGAAGTGTGAATCCGTTTTTTTCCTTTCAATTATCTTAGGCTTCTTATTGGAGCAGATATGAGGCTTCTAAGAAATTGGAATGTGATTGTTGAGAAATTTAAAGCTAAGTTGAACAATTGGAAAGCTAGTGATCTCTCGTTTGGTAGAAGACTTACTCTTGTCAGCTCGGTACTCAATAGTCTTCCGCTTTATTACTTTTCGTTGTTTCGGGCTCCTAAAAGGATCATTCTTCTTCTTGATTATATTGGAAGAATATTTCTTTGGAGAGGGGGATCCGTGAAAAAAAATTGTTCGGTGTCCTGTAATAGAGTTACAAAAGCGAAATCAAAGGGTGGGTTGGGTGTTGGTTGCTTAAAGGCCTTGAATCTCTCCCTTCTCTGAAGTGGTAGTGGAGGGTAAAACAGAGCGTAATGAGCTATGGTTAAAGTGTATTAAGGCACTGCATAATCTTTCTCTTGTGGATGGCAAGCCGTTGGCCAAAAAGTCGATTTCGAGTGTTTGGCTTAATATTTATAATATTAATTCTGATTTAGTTGATCTTGATGTCTCTCTTGAAAAACTTTTGTTAAGGGTGGTGGGAGTAGGTGGCAAAACCTTCTTTTGGAAGGATATTTGGTGTGGTTTGTGCCCCTTAAAATATAAATTCCCAATATCTATGATGTGAACTCTAATAAAAATTGTTTTATTTCGGAAATGGTTTCTTTAGGGGGTGATTCCAGCTTTTGTTTGGAATGAGACTGATGTAGACAAGTTATAGGGCGTAGGAAGAGTAGGCAGTTAATGGAGTTATCGAATTTAATTGCTGATTTTCAACTCTCAGATGGTGCAAAATAATGGAAGTGGATTGAAGATCAGGGGTGTTTTCAGTAAAGTCTTTAAGATTTGTTATTGGTAATTTAGATCCTAATGGAGATACTTTGGAGTTCGATTGGGTTAGATGAATTCCTCTTAAACTGAACTGTTTTGTTTGGAAGCTTCTTTTAGATAGAATTCCTATTGTGGTTAATTTGTCCAGACGTAGGATTCCTGTTAACTCTTATTTTTGTTGTTTTTGCAATTGTACTGATGAATCTGCTAACCATCTCTTCTTTTTGTGCGGGTACGCTAAAACCATCTGGAACTGGCTTGGAGCGTGGTGTGGTATTATGCTTGTGATTCCTTGCAACCTTGGCGAGCTTCTTGAGGTGCTGAAGTCCCAAAATCAGAACTGAAGATACACTCTTTTAAGGTTAGCTCTGGTTTACTCCACTCTCTAGACGATCTGGAAGGCGCGGAACAGGCTCCTGTTTATGAAGGAGAGAATTACCCCTCTAAAAACAACAGATGACATCCAAGTGTCTACTTTCAATTGGATTAAAAATATATCGAATTTAGCTTCTTTAGATCGGTCTATTTGGATTGGTTCCTCGATGATAAACTGTATTTTGTAATTGTTTCTCTGGCATCTTGCTAGTCGTTTTTTGGTTTAATATATTTCGTCATTCTAAAAAAATAAAAAAAAAATTATTTTCTAATTTTTTATCATATATTTTGTTTATTAACTTTTAATTATTTATTTTTATTTTACATTCTCAAGTAATATTTTCACTAAAAATATAAAATATTATAGGTATGTTTTACGGATGTTGCAAATATTACATAGTACACAAGGAATATCCTAGCCGAAATGATATATAGCACCATATTCGTGTATTAGATATTTTCAATGAGTATTTCCTTCCAACTAATACTAAATAAGCTTTTAGCTATATAGATTTGTCTCTTTGAAGTTTGTAACATCTAGTTTCCGATGTTCCTGATTTTATGATAACGGATCATTATTTTTGATCAAGTAAAGGTCTTGGGCTTCAAGGAAACAAAGTTAACTCCGTATTAATGTTGATAATGATGTTTAAGTGATTTAAACCCTTGAGTTATGCGTTGGAGCCAAAAGGGTAAAATGTGAACAGTAATATTTTGTAATTTTGTGTGTATTAATAAATTAATTTATGTATTGTTTAAGCCAAAAGTAAGTTTATATAATTGTGGGGTTTGTCAATACCTTCGTGTGCATATAAAGATCACTGAAAACAGAGTTGGGATGAAAAAGTTATAATCGTTTGAAGCTGAAGCTGAAAACCAGAAAAAAATCAGGAATTTATCGGAAAGCACAAAGCACCCCCGCCCTAGTGGGATGCACGTTTTTAGGGTTTTTGGGTTTTTTAAAGGCCATCATGTGACAACCCGAAATCTCTATCTGTAAGTCAACGCAACCAATAGGAAGTCAGACTTGCTTTTGCTTCGGTCTTACTGTGTTTAGGATCAGTTTGTGTCACACCCCGCTAAAGCGGAAACACGAGGCGTGGCAGTATAAAGGGTTTCATAGCAAAAGTTA